TTGGGGACACTCTACACATATCGCTCAACCGTTGATATCATTGCAAAGTTCAACTAATTTTCTAGCGATAAAAAAGAGCAGCAATATGCTAAGAAATGGCCGGTTTTGAAGATATAGACGATTTAAAAATCCTCTGCAGTTGCAGGAAAGCAACGTAAAAACGCATCGAGCTTATATTTTTACTATAAATAAATCATTTTTCAGTAAGTTTTTAGATATGGTATCGATTTAATCAACAACTTTATTACAATATTTTTATTACTTGTAACTTTATTTCAAAATAATATTTTCAAAAATGGCAACTGTTGGTAAGTAGCTTTGAAGCGATTGTGGCGCGCCGCGCCATTATTGTCCTGAGGCCCCCTTATGATGTCATCAAAAGTGGAGTGACATAGGCCTGGGTCATGCTCGTATCAATCACCCTTGACCCCGTCCACCGCCCCCGGCGGATACTCAACAGTGCGCTCATTGGCTCATTGGTTTGTCTCAGTGAGCGCCAATCACAGTCAGTTCAGTGTGCACTGTGCGTGCTGCGTGTGAGATGAGAGATCACAGCGAAGCACGATACCGCCATAACCCTTTACTTGGAAGAGGCCTTCTGGACGGCGTTGCCAGTTAATGGGGTGGGGGAGAAATTCGACATACAAATAAGTTTCTAAAATAAAATGGTCAGTGGATGAATAGCATAATATTTCTTTCAACGTTCACTCGTTTTCATAAAAAAGACGAAGAGAAGAAATAACGTTGAAGCATATGACTATTAAGCGAGCCAATACTTTTTTAAATTTATATTTATGGAAGGGTGCAATGTAATTGCAGTCACACTTGTATTTTTTAGCGATTGCAATTTGAATTGGTGATCATTCCGTACACGATCTGAAGCTATCGGGATAAATAATTGAAATACCTGGGTGAACTGCGCCACCCATGTGCCGATGAGTTTGAATTTTTCCGCTTTGCGATAAAAAACAACTGTTTTGCAAGTAGGACGGCTTCCGTTGACCAAACTTTTATTGTCATCTCAAAGGGCGGCGACCACCTCCCCGTCCCTTCTCGACCCCTCCCCTTTATTTACACGACGGAGTCCCGTCCCTCACCGCCGACTGGTCACAGTGTTCTAAAATTGGATTTTGGTTGGGTGTGCCAAGAAGAAAAAAAAATCCTAGGATGAGAAAAAAGGAAATAAATACCCGAACTATATTTGCAAAATGGTGTAATGCCAATTTGTATGCCAACTGCTAAACCAGGATTTCATGTCAGAATCTTGACAGCAGTGGCGGCGGAAGCGGGGGGGCAGCGGGGGCACGGCGCCCCCCCCCCCCATCTTCCAGGGTGGGGGTGCAAACATATCTTTTTGCCCCCCCAAATTGTTGTCGACGAAGTACCACAATACTTCCATACTACGTCATGAACATATGCCAGTTTGGCTGAGTACCTTTTTAAGTTAATAGAGCGAGTAATTTGGAATGGATTGATATTGTTGTCAATGTCGTCGTACATATTTTGATCACATTGGCTAGCATTTTGCAGTGCGAGTGTTACCAACCAAAAAGGTTTGCAATAGCCAATAATTGGCTAACTTTAATGACGTCATTGGTTTAAAGGAAGCAAGTTGTTCAACGCGAACAACAGTCACGGTGACAGCCACAGCGTGCTACACGTATTTGAACTGGACTTGCCGCAGTGGCGCGGGAACCAGAGGGGCGGTTCCCGGGAACCGGCTGGAGGGGCTAGCGGGGGCTGAGCCCCTCCAACTTTTCGGCGGGGGGAGGGCTCGTAATGTAGGTATTTGAGACCCTCCAACCGGAGGAATCGAAATCGGAAATCTACCAACATAATTTCATAGATTTATTACCTTTTCGAAATGTTAACCAGAAACAACCTTCATTATGGAGCGTTCTAACGCAGAAGACTGTGACAACATGTAAGCACATATTCATTCTCTAAATATCATACATTTCCACCAAACGCCCTCCACACATAATGCTCAGAAATCAAGCAGCTATCTACGAGCTACCGGTAACCGGAAGAGTAGGACGGAACGCGAGTGGCCCGGCATGCGGACGTCACAGAAGCGCGTCTGAGCGTGCCACAGGCCTTTCCCCGCGACTCTGCCAGACGCCAGCCGGCATAGACTCGTGAGCCGGGGGGCAGCATGGGGGTAGCCTGCCCCCACAACTCTGGGGCCGTGGGGGGCGCAGGCGCTGCCCCCACAAAGTTTCATAGGGCCAGGAACCGTCGGGGCAGCTTGTCCTCCCTATATTAGCGGCCGTGGGCCTCAAAGAAAAGCTGAATGGAAGACAATACCTATTTAAGTAAAAAAATCCCCCTCTATACCTGATTTGACAGCTCATGTGTGAAAGCTTTAAACGTTTATTCCAAGTTACCAAAAAGGTAGTTCCTTGACTCAGATGAGACGGGATATCTCACTTTTTGCAAATGTTTTCGTTTCGATTTTTCGTTGTAAAGGCCAAGGGGTGAAAAATAAGTGGCCTAAAACCGGTGAGAAAACTAGATTTGGGGGTACCCTAGGTTCCGGGAAGGATCAGGTGTGCCCCCCCATCCCAAAATACCTTCCGCCGCCTCTGCTTGACAGGGTGTGAAACATGGATGTGGGTGCATCAACTGTCAAGTGACATGTAAACTGGCTGTTGGGAATACATGAAACTTTTTTCAGAGATGAAGCAAAGTCGGTCATTCATATTTTAGGGATGAAAGTATTTTCCCCATTAGGTGTGATTTGCCACCAAAAAGTCTGAAAAATGGAACACTGACTGGTCACGTGATTGGCCTCGCCCAAGGCCCAGCCGACTGACCCGGAGCGCGGTAGGCGTCATGCCATGCTGCTTTAATCACTCACCACATCGCGGCTACTAGTGTTCAGAGAGCGGTGACACCAGAAACGTCGTGGCGGAGCGGTTAAGCGTTAGGGTATGGATCGCGGGGTCGCGGGTTCGGTCCGCGCCGGGGTTGTTCGTTTTCCACAGACTGGTTCTGGCTGGCTCAGGCGAGATGGATATATCTTTTGAGGTTATGACCTCACGAGCACTATGAATACAATCGACATTCGTTGACTCTTGTTCGGTCATAAGATATTAGCCGATTATATGTTTGTGTATGGAAATATCTCTTTTCTAATTCGCAAAAAGTAGCCGACTCACTTTATCATCATATAACTCACTTGACGTCATTGCACTGGGAAGTGAGTTGCTAGAAATGTAACCTCGTCAGAACCATTTTGCAGGTTGTTAAAAGGACAGACAAGTCCATTGGCTGCGGTGACTATGCAACCTGCCCTGATCATGTAAACGGCATTGTGACTATAGTTCAGCCACGAACACATTCCGCATTTTCCTAGAAAGAACTATCGGCACGCTCGGTGCCGCGGAGGGTATGCCAACCTAACAGACCCGCGCTGCCCAGCGCTCCGCTAGCCCGGAGGCGGTTGGCGAGGCTGACCCCACTGACCTCGCTCCGCGACCAGACTCTCGGTCACTCACGCCACAACCGAGAGGCGCCAGCCTCGACGCAGGGGCATCTGGCGCCATTCATGCTGCCTCCGAACACGGTGATTGGTTTGCTGCAGAGTCACGTGGTTGGGGCATCAGTGGCGTAATCAGGAATTTAGTTATCAATCTCACCAACAGATGGCTCTGACCGACGATTTTTAAATACGGAGTGATCTAAAGGTAGGTGACATAATACGAGCTTACAGCTGCAATGATGATGGCACATGTAGGCTACATTCCAAGTTTCATGATAATCTGACAAATGGTTCCCATGATACAGATGCAAACTCTAACCACTACGGATACCCCACATTACTTCAGCGGCGACCTGTACAGTCCATATAAGTGCTATACGAGTGTCAGATACATGTAGAGGCCAGCCAAGCATAGGTCAGGATCAAGGTCAGGTCAATCCGGTAAGTTATATCCCCGAAAATCAAAATTTGTATTCGCAGTATGTGGCACATGTTTTAAAAAGGATTCCTCGGAGGTGGGCTTGGGATTCTCAGACCAGTGTTGGTCACTTAGAGCATGTGCTGTGGGAGAGCCTTAGAGCCTCGCAGAGACCTGCGTGGGATGCTGGAAATCAGCATGGGTCACCAAATATTTTTACATATGTATGTTGAGCTATAGAGCTTTCCGAGGTCAATGCCAGGTCTTCAGAAGCCAGTGTCGGCGCTAAGCGACCGTGGTGAGCACTCAGATCACAGTGTGAACCCTCAGGGACAATTTCGAATTTTAAGGACCCTATGTAGGGACATCAGAAGAATGAGTTCGGACTCTCAGAGGCGTATGGGCCCCTCAGGTGACGTCTTGGCCAACGCGACAGGTGGCGGCTGCATGTCGGTCGGTGGGCTGCATTCTTGGCATTCTTACATAAGTCACCACATTCCTGCGTTAGTCAATCATTTCGGAACGAAAAATTGAATGTTTTTGCCCAGGGCGATCCTTAGGCCGTACAAGCTTCTGATTTGTGCTAGTCTCGGCTCACGCCACAAAGCTGCTATTCCAGTTCAAAACCCCATGTTAAAAGTGTGGTGTATTTTCTTCAACAAAGTGGAGTCGCGCGAGGTGTCACACAGACGGCCGACACATGATGCTATGAGAATCCCCGAAACATATATCCCTCGCGATTCTCGCTTGTCAAGGAATTAAATGTGAAAATAGTGCTTTGGATGTCGGTGGTACCTGCAGGGCTAGGCGCCTGCGAACACGGATAAAGACCTAAATGCTTGGAAAATGTCTCAGCATGCCCCTAGTCCAGCCACTCAGTCTGACAGTGTGTCCCCGATGCCGCCCTGTCATATAAGTCCTGGTGTTCCCCCAGCCGAGTCCGGATGCGTCCCCACTACAGTTGCTCACTGCTCAGTCCTGGTGTGTAAAGTCCAGTCACGCAGTTCTGGCGAACTGCCCCCAGCCCAGTCAGTGGCGGTGTGACGCCCCAGGCAGTCGTCCTTCCCAGCCTGACTTAGGTCGGTGCTGTCCGTGCAGGTAATGTGTTCAGCCGGCCGCCAGCCGGGTCCGCCTGCAGCGTACCGTGCCAGATGGATGAGGCCAGCGGCCCGGCCCGGCCCGGCACCCCTGCCAGCGGCTCATCCCACTGCACGGCCGACTGCGTCAGCGCCATCGGCTCCCCGGAGGTGAGCAGCAGACCCCCTCCGGCAGACACCCCCTCGACAGACGCCTGCCGAACGGCGGCGCACATCCCACCCCATCCGCAGGCTTGCTATGGTTCAGCGTCTTTCAAATGTCGTCATCGACGGAGTCCTGCACATTGCACAAGGCCAAAGTATTAGGAGTAAAATACCGAAAGCGGCTGATTCATCTCGAGCCAACGTCCCTTTTTCCAAAGATGCACTTATGTTTTTCAGTGGATACGACTTTAACAGTTACAAATGAAATTTAACGTTTGCATATTGGGTACCATTTGAAAGACTTCAAATGACCCAAAGTGCAATGACCCAGTTTAAGCGAAAGGTGCTGGATTTTTTTGACAGCAGAATAATTTTGACGCCACCAATTGGTACCTTTCATGTGCCATGATTGTTGCAAGTCCAGAATACAGATCCATTAAATCAGTCAAAGTCGAGGGAGAAAGGATGGAGCCACTCGACATATACAAACTACACATATTCGCTTCGCAATCGCTCGTTACAATTGTAATTGTGCCCCCCCCCCTACGGTTTACCTTTCACAAGCGCTTAGTGTCTGCCTTCCAGCCACCCCTCTGACCTAGGCGGTGTGGTCTGCCGCAGCGACCCTCTTCGCCTGCGGCAGTGCGTGGAGCCACTGAGAAGGGACGCCGGATCGGGCCCCCGCCGGCGACCACCGAACCCGCCGAGCTCAGCACCAGAGAGCGCTACCTGGCCGCACAAAACCGGATGCTCAAGTCCACACTCATCAAGGTATGGGTTTGGTTGTTCTGGATTCTTAGTGGCTGTGTTTATGTTTTTTATTAATTGTTTCTTAGTAATGCCTTGATTTTGCGTCACATTTATACCAATTGAGCGTTTTATGCGAGTTTTATGGCGCACTCAGCGCAGTTTATTGAGGAACTCATTTTCTAATTATTCCTCATCGTTACTGTAGGTCTCTTCGTTCCTCTACATATTAGCCATATGCCTTATCATTTTCCAGATTGATGCCTGCGCCTTGTCTCGCAATGAAATAGCCAATATGAACTTCTGTCAAGCAGTGCGCCGGCTTGACGCGCATTATCGTTCAAAGCTGCTGTTGTGGCACTTATCCTAGGCTACTGAGTGATTGACTTTCGAGCCCACCTTATCTTGAATGGGCATGTTCAGACATGTCAACAAGTTGTGACAAAAATAGGTCGCGTGAAGTGGCAGTATGTAAGGCAAGCCTGTGTTATTGGCCGGAAGGAATACACTGTGCCTGTACTCCAGTACATAGTTTTGGAGCGGTCTTATCTTGAAATTGAGCGTTGTTTGTTAGGTGTGACTTTACCCCCCATAACTTGATTGCTTAGATTGTGTCATGGGTGGAACGGCATAAGGGCCGTGCTAACCGGCAGACTTGTGATCAGCTCAGTTGAGCCGGCTCAAAAATCAGCTCAGCTCATGAGCCGGCTCAACATTTTGCCAAATTGTTGAGCTGTGAGCTGAGCCGGCTCAGTAATGCATTGAGCTGAGCTGCTGTCTGAGCTGAGCTGAATGAGCTTGAGCTGAGCTGAGCTGAATGAGCTTGAGCTGAGCTGAGCTGAGCTGAGCGAGCTGAGCGAGCTGAGCTGAGCTGAGCTGATTGAGCTGAGCTGAGCTGAGTGAGCTGAGCTGATTGAGCTGAGCTGAGCTGAGCTGAGCGAGCTGAGCTGAGCTGATTGAGCTGAGCTGATTTAGCTGAGCTGAGCTGATTCAGTTCTAATTCTTTTCAGTTCATGCTTGGAAATTAACTCAGGCTTTGATGCTTCAGCTATGAGCTAGCTATGGAGTGAGCAATTACACTGCCTTCGTGATCGCACTTAAAAATATCAAAACTCTAAAGAAATCAATAGTAATCACTAATCAAGCTTAATTTCTTTCACCCATATTGCATGGAAATTGGAAGACCAGGGTCTTGGCCAATTTACAGGCTAATACAGCCAGTCTCAAGTTTCAAGTCTGACTGCAAGATGAATACCTACTGTCAGGCTTTGATGCTTCGCCTTGACACTCTGCTCCGCAATGTACAATTCAGCATTCTTCACTTTGCTATTTAAGCAGTTATTTAAATTAATTTTATCAATAAGGGTTCTTACCTCTGCATAAAATATTTACAATTAGGAATTAGCAAAGAAAGTTCCTCTTCGTTGGTTGAATGTGGGCTAAGCAACTATCCTATTGAAAGTGGGGTGGGGCAGAGGCGCTAACTGGAACTCTCACCTTCTGATGTCCATTATATGGGAAAATTTTTCGACCGCCTTTTTTCGTCTCACATTTTTTTCGTCTGTACATTTTTTCGTCCATGCATTTTTTCGTCGGTACATTTTTTCTGAGCGGAAACTGAGCTGAGCTGAATTGAGCGGAAACTGAGCTGAGCTGAACGGGAACTGATTTGAGCTGAGCTGAGCTGAGCTGAGCGGAAACTGAGCTGAGCTGAGCTGAGCTGAGCGGAAACTGAGCTGATCTGAGCGGGAACTGAGCTGAGCGGAAACTGAGCTGAGCTGAGCGGAAACTGAGCTGAGCTGAGCTGAGCGGAAACTGAGCTGAGCTGAGCTGAGCGTGAGCGGAGCGCAGCCGGTTTGAGCGGAACGTGAGCTGAGCTGAGCCGCGTTAAAGGGACTATCCCACCTTCTAAAATGTTGTTAAAACCAGTTAAATTGTGCCCGACTTTATAGATTGGATGACCAGGAACACGGTTCTGGCATTTATTTTTCATTAAACATCTTAGGCTTCCCATATTCCAAACACAAACTTTCAAATATGTGACGTCACAGCCCAAAATTACCTCCTTCCCCAGGCCACATTACTGTCATAAAGCTGATTCTTTTTACTCTGTAGGCACCACAACAAAGTTCAGACCAAGTTTTAAGCGATTTTTCAACGAACAAACCCATTTAAATCGGGGAATATTTGTTTCTGGTCCCTAAAAAGCTGTTTCTGGCACCTAATTGCTGATCAGCCCCAAAATGCTTATTCGACCCTAATATCTGAATCTGGCACCTAATTGCTTCCACACAGCCTAAAGTTGCCAGATCGTCTAGTTGAACTCCGTATTTGCTGTTTGCTGATTCAGCACCAAAACCAAAACATCCAGCACCTATTTTATTCCACGTTTGCCTACCTAATTCGCGTAATCTTCCTGATTTTATGTATCCTAACAAACATGAACGTTGCATTCGGTGATGTCAAGTGCCATTTTCGCCAGTGGAGATAATGATTAAGGCCATTTCTAGCCAAAAGAGAATGACTAGCCAGCTATGGTGCAGCATAGCAAGACGCTCCTATACCAGCCCGCTATGTAGAGATTATTGCACCCTCAGCCATTTTAACGTGAAAAGTTTGGATCCGTCACTTCCAGCCAGGCTCTCAGGTCATAAACTGGAGTAAAGCAAAATGTCAACTCTGAACAGACATGCCACGCAACCGGCCCTCTTTTCAATATTATTAGCTTTCTGCAATCATCGTCTGACTCCATCTCGATCAAACGCAGCATCCGGTTTCTACAGGGGCGTTTGACTGACCGGCCACACAATAACCAAAAACAAAATCAAAGCTTCATGCACACATAAGTAAGAAACGGATGAAAAAGGCACAACCACGGCACAACTCTGCGCGGCAAACAACGGACAATGTCCCACGCAAGATCCCGCGTTTCTTCAGCGGCCTTGAACGGAATGAAAACATTACATTTCTTTTTTGGAGCTATGTGATGACGTCAAAAAATACAATACCCGTTTTAATGGTCAAAATCGAGACAATTACTCACAAAAATGTTTCCCTTTAAGCATTACAAATAAATACTTTTAAATATTTAAATGAAATTGTTTTTTCAAACAAATCAATATTATTTGCTTACTTAAACGTCATATACAATGCTGAGATCACTACGGGGCTGTCTTAGAGTGTAGCTGCACTGGCAACCTTTAGGCTAGACTCCAGGGGTCATTATACCAGAACAACATGATTCTACCAGTCAGTAGTTCATTTTCCTGCTAGATTGGTGCTACGCTCAGCATTTAGGTGCCAGATTCAGAAAAAAAAAGAGTAAGGCGTACCGATGAATAGGTGCCAGAAACAGCTAATTAAGGTCATTTTCCATGATTGGTGCTGGTATCCACCAAATAGGTGCTGAGGACCAATTTTGGGGCGAGTCAGCTTTTAGGTGCCAGAAATAGCTTTTCTGGGACGCAATTAAATGGCGTCCATTTAAATCAGAATGACTAAACGAGGTGACGTCACACTAACGGTCGCTCCATGTTGAAGATAGGGCCTTGTACAAGGCCCATTTTCAAATGAAGGGAACGAATTTCTTCAACACCAAGAGGCCGCGGGGGTTGCAACCTAGATACATAGTGGTTTCTGAACCTCGCCGCAAACTTGGCTATCTCAACTCAAACCCCATGTTAAAGGTGGGATAGTCCCTTTAAACTGAGCGGGAGCTGAGGGGGAGCGGATAAGACGGAGTTGAGCTGAGCGAGCTCACTTTTTTCTTGACCTGTCACAAGTCTGCTAACCGGGACCCGACTGATCCCAGTGGGCAAGGACTATACTGTGTTCCGTTTCAAGCTTGCGGCCGAAGTGCCCTGCTGAAAGCAGTGCGTGATTTCTGTATATACAGCTCTCACATTCAAATCCGCAAGTTATTGAGCGGAGGAGCGGTCTGTCCAAGGACCAAGAAACTCTGACGGCAAGCTTGATATGGAACAGACCATAGACCTTGCTTAGAAATAGAACCCGGGTGGTGTTTCCACATAACTATCGGTTGATTTAGGCCGCTGATGACGCCACTGTCCCTCTGCGTGCAGACGCTGGAGAAGCTCCAGGTTCAGGTGGAGGCCAGCGGCCGGGCGCGCCGGCTGCTGAGTCGACTGCTCGCCCTGCGTGGCTCCGGCTCGGAGTCGCAGCCGGGCCGCACTGCTGGCCCTCCGCAGGTAAGCAGAACGGAACAATGGACCACGGACTGAGTAAACTGTGCCCATCGGTTCTACTGGCCCAACGAACGGCTATCGGAGCATAGCAGAGACTTACTGATGTAGCCGGGAGATTGTTCCGTTCTAGAGGCTGCACTGCCGCATTCCCTCCGGCCTTGTCACCGTCTCTGATCTCTTGAGGCACGTTGAGTTATTTCCTGATCTCTCTGTCCTTACAGTCTTGTGACGCCGTGCGGCACTGTCGGCAGGATACCCCGGTGCCGGACGACCTTTACGCTCGATACGCCGCCCTGGTGAAGCAAAACTACCAGCTGGAACAGGCGCTGGGCCGGGGCGACCGGGCGCCGACCCGCTCCGGGCGGGCCGAACTGGACGAATACCGCGCACTGGTGGGCATCCAGGTGAGGTTGGCCGGACGCCGCAGCTGTCGGCTGCTGCTGTAGTCGACTGCTATCCTGCATGCCTTGTGCCTGTTCATTGAATGTTGTCGCGTGTTATTCCGGTGTCGTTTCACCCATTGACGTCATCTGGTGGCGCTGGCATCATCTGTTGACATCACTGGCTGATATTGACGTCATCCGTTGACGTGTCCGCCGGCAGATGAGCACGCTGCAGCAGGACTGGCGAGACGAACGCGACGAGAAGGAGCGCGCGCTGGCGCTAAACGCCGAGCTGCACCAGCAGGTGGAGCAGCTGCAGCACCAGCTGGAGCAGCTGAGCGCGCGCCGGCCACTCTCCGAGCCGTTCGAGTCGCTGGAGCCGAGCTTCTTCACGGGCAGCAGCAGCTGGGGACCCGAGTGTTCGGTCCGCTCCCAGGTGAGCCCTGTGTCCGACAGCAAACGACGGGCACTTGTGCGCGCTACAGACCCAGGTGGCGGACCTAGCAAACCCACTGTCCAGCAGTGGCCAGTGAACCAGCTGATATCACTACGTATTATAAGTTATAACACTGCGTTTGAGCATCGGTGGGACTTCAGACCGTTTCGCCCTAACCCATGTTTTGAACAAACACGACCGCATTCCCATGCGATGATTGTCTACACTGTTATATGAGGATCGCCGGCAGACGACCGCTTCGTTCGCGCGTTGTTTACAATGCATAACAGTGGATACTGAGCTCGGTAAGCGGCTGAGTTGTTGCGTGCTATTTTTACATGCCGGGGTGTGTTTCAAGTACAGCACGAGCCGGATAGTAAAATTATGGCTAAGAAACTTGTAGGCAAATCTCCACTGGAAATGAAAGTTAACTTCCTGGGGTTTCTGCCCAGGCGAATAACCTGTGACTATATGATTCAAGGTAGCGATTGTAGGGAAACCATTGTGGGCAGGGGCGGATCCAGGAAAACTCCAAGGGGAGGGTCATGAATCGAAGTGGTGCCCCTACCTATACCCAAAATTAAAAACTCAACGGATTTCGTCCACTTCATTTTGGTGGTGCCCCCATTTTCAGTTTTTTTCTTTTTCTTTTTTATTTTTAGTCAGTATCTTAACTCTTAGCCACAACCACATTTACCAATTGTAAGCAAGTATATATGAATGTGCTATGTGCATAGATGCTATGTGTATATATGTTGTGGACGCTGAGTAGTGAGTACTTACCAGGAACGTTATCAGGTAAGCAAATCGTTGTCAGTCCGACGAACTTGACCCTGGCGTCTAAAGGGTCTGTCCTTGACACTTCAGGCTTGTCAGGGGCACCAAAGTCCTTCCAGGGACACCACAAACCTTTCAGGGGCACCTACGGCCTTGTAGGGGCGCCACAGGCCCGCCAGGGGCACCACAGGCCTGCCAGGAAGTAGGGGCACCACAGGTCTAGCAAGTATACACGACAGGCCTGTCAGGGGCACAACGGACCTGTTGGGCCCATGAGCACCCCTAGGGGCAGGGGCACCACAGTCCTTCCAGGGGCACCGCAGGCCTGTGAGGGGCACCAGCGGCCTAGCAGGGGCACCAGTCAACACAGGCCTGCCAGGGGCACCACAGACCTGCAAGGGGCACCAGAGGTCTGCCAGGAGCACCACCGACCTCGCAGGGGTAACTTGGGCCTGTCAGGGGCCAGGGGCACCACGGGCCTGTCGAGAGGCACTTCAGGCTTTTCAGGGGCACCATAGTCCTCTCCGGGCGCAGGGGTAGCAGGGGCACCAGAGGCCTGCCAGGGGCACTACAGGCCTAGCAAGGGCACCACTGGTCTATCAGGGGCACCACGAGCCTGTCATAGCCAGGCATCTCAGGCTTGTCAAGGCCCAGGGGCACCACAGGTCTGTGAGGGGCACCAGCGACCTAGCAGGGGCACCAGTCAACACAGGTCTGCCAGGGGCGCCACAGACCTGCCAGGGGCACCACAGACCTGCCAGGGGCACCAGAGGTCTGCCAGGGGCACCACCGGCCTCGCAGGGGCACCTTGGGCCTGTCAGGGGCACCACGGGCCTGCCGAGGGGCACTTCAGACTTTTCAGGGGCACCAGTCCTCTCCGGGCGCAGGGGTACCAGCGGCCTAGCAAGGGCACCAGAGGCCTGCCAGGGGCACCAGCGGCCTAGCAAGGGCACCAGAGGCCTGCCAGGGGCACCACAGGCCTAACAAGGGCACCACGGGCCTGTCAGGGGCACCTCAGGCTTGTCAGGGCCCAGGGACACCACAGTCCTTCCAAGGGCACCGCAAGCCTGTCAGGGGCACCAGAGGCCTGCCAGGGGCACCACAGGCCTAGCAAGGGCACCACTGGCCTGTCAGGGGCACCTCAGGCTTGTCAGGGCCCAGGGGCACCACAGTCCTTCCAGGGGCATTACAAGCCTGTCAGGGGCACCAGAGGCCTAGCAAGGGCACCACAGGCCTGCCATGGACACCACAGGCCTGCCAGGGGCACCACCGCCCTTGCAGGGGCGCCTCAGGCCTGTCAGGGGCACCACGTGCCTACCGGGGACACTTCAGGCTTGTCAGGGGCGTTACAGTCCTGTCAGGGCCCAGGGGCACCAGGCCCGTGGTGTCCCTGCTAGGCCTGTGGTGCCCCTGGCGGTCCTGTGGTGCCCCTGGCGGTCCTGTGGTGCCCCTGTCAGGACTGTGATACCCCTGATAGGCCGGTGGTGCCCCTGGCAGGTCTTTGGGCCCCCGGGCCTCAAGGGGGGGGGGGCCATGACCCATGTGACCCCCCCCTTGGATCCGCCCCTGATTGTGGGCCTCAATAACTAGACCAGGTGTTGCAGGATTGCCGCGGTTCTTTTTTACGAGAAAATAAGAAGCTTAAAAGAGCGAAAATCCACGTTGTATTTCATGTCAAACGATGTCGGCAGGCCAATCAGCAGCTCGAGTAAAATGCATGCACTCATGCATAACTAAGTCGACTGCTACTGCTGACTATTTCACTGCTTGTTAATATACGCCTGCTTGCAGCTTGCATTGTTGCCAGCGGTTGCCAGCGATTCGGTCGCCATCAGGGCATGTCACTGTCGATGTTTACTCCCCGCACTTTACTCTTTTGTCGGTGACCTCGAAGTTATGTCCCATCGTTGCTGAACATGTAACCGTCTGTTTTAAATGTTTCCCGTCAGCGTCGGTGCAGACTATAGACTCGCCACGTTCTTGCGGCCCATTAGTTGTGCTACATACGCTGGAGGACATCCGACATTGAGTGCTCAGTTGACAATCTTCCTTGCATAGTGGTTTGTTTTCTGTCCCGGGACACCAGCGGTAACGTTTCCTGATTTCAGCAGCTCCCCCACCCAGTTTGTTCCTCACCATTGGTGCCTCCATGAACCAGTCTTTCGAATATGATTGATGGCGAGATTGAAGGGATTTGCTTCTTCCATAGACGGTGACCGTTGTTTCTCGAATTCCTTGAAGACAATCACTGGGCATTGCTCCGGATCAACATTGTTGGGGAGATCTTCGGAGAAAAAATCCTGCTGCCCGTCTGATTTTCACTTATTTTTGTCATCGTTTCTCTTTCCCCGAACAGTAAATGACCATTTCCATCCACACCCCTCAAAGGCTTTTCGCTACCCCACTTCAATTCTCGTGATTCATCGCATCCCCTAGACTCAACAGCAAATTGGAGATAACCACATATATTTCTGGTCCAGAGCTTTTCTTCTTGGAAAGTTACAGGCTTCGCACGACTAGGAGTAGGCCTGTTCCCTTTCTTATCCCTCTTGAGAAGTCGTGTCGTAGTTTCGCTGTTTAACCTCGTGGTATGCTTTGGGCAAAGCACGTTCAACGTTAGTCAGTTTGTTCTCTTTCAACCACTTCCCACAAGTCTTGAGAAGTTCGTGACACTACAAATCTCGTAGTTTGTTCCGTCCTCAAGCTTCATTGACTTCCTATAACTGCACATTAGTTTTGCGGTTTCCTGCTTGCTTTAAGCTCCACGTTATGTTGTGAACATCCAACAGTTTCACGATTTTCTTGTAGCCTTTTCAGCCTCAATTCCGTATTTTGCTGCTTTTTTCTGTGGTATTGTTCTTTGTAAACTTCATCGATACTTGCTTCATGTCATCCCTGCCGCTATTCGGCAGGTCCAATACTAACACCGGACGAGTGACGAGTCCTATCAAATACATTTTGACGCATAGTGCGTCATGTAGGAAAACTTATCGACATCAGCCTACAGAAATTATTTTGAAACACTGTTCGCAAAATTTTAATCGACAGTGCACTCGGGCCTCTGCCAATTTTGCAAACCTTGTTTCCAAATACTTTCGTCGGCTCGGTTGGTAACCTACCTATAGCCCGAGTGCTGTGTTTCACGTCAGTGCAGGTTTGTCTGTCGGATCGCCCTCGGTTTTCAGACAATGTCTTATATCTGACCTCATGTGTCCTCAGCCGCGACACGGGATCCCTCCACCCGGTGTCGGCCAGACCGTCAGGGGCCTGCAGAGCACGGTCAGTAGTCAGCGATGGGCAATGCATGGCACTAGAGGACCCTGTATTCGTCTGTGCCCTACAGTAACTCAATGTTCACATTTTATTACCATCTTTCTAGCCGTTTCTCGAAACAAAGGGCGATGAAGTAGCACGTCAACAAATCGCTCGTGACGTCTCGGTTCCCAGAGTCGTGGCGGTTGGGTACTGTCGTTCCTATCTATAAACAGGCCGGTGACCCAGGCACTGCTTCTAACTTTCGGCCTATCACTCTACTGTCACACTTGTCAAAAATCGTGGAGAAAGTTGTCTCCAATCAGCTTTCTGTCTACATTTCACGCACAAATCTTCTCTACAAACGACAGTACGCATACCGCCGCTGCCACTCCACCGAGGACGCCGTGCTCGATGCTGTCGACTGCATTGCTCAAAACATCGACTCCGGCTTCGTATCAGCTCTCATCGCTGCTGACTTGAGCAAGGCGTTCGACAGCGTCGACCACGGTGCCCTCCTGTGCAAACTGGGGTGGTATGGAGTGGATCCCTCGTGGTTTGCCAGCTACCTGGGCGGACGTAGCCAAGTGGTCCGGGGTGGTAGCGCCACCCCGGTTGCAGTCTCCCACGGCGTGCCACAGGGATCCATAATCGGGCCGATCCTGTTCAGTCTTTTCTGCAACGACCTACCGTCTCACCTTGACGTCGAACCCGTCATGTACGCCGACGACATTCACTTGTTGGACCGGGCTAAGCCTGAACCTCAAAATTTAATCGCTCTTAAAGCACGGCTTGAAAACACTCTTTCGATCATGCAAAATTGGTACCGTTCAAACTCACTCAAAATGAACCCTCAAAAAACCGAATTTATCATGATTGGCTCTCGTCAAAACATTCAGAAAACGGAGGACTTCAACATCGTCATTGACGACGTCTCAGTGACACCCTCTGGCTCCCTCCGCATGCTGGGAGTCGTCCTCGACCCAGTCCTGTCTTGGGAGAAACATGTTGGTCACGTTGTTCAGAAATGTAACTGTCTTCTCATCTCCCTCTATCGTTTTCGGCACCACTTCCCCCAAGACGTACTACAAAAACTTATCAACATTCACGTCTTCCCATACATCACCTACTGTCTTTCGGTTTGGGGTGGAGCCTGCAAAAATCAACTTTTCAGGATCCAAAAAACTATCAACTTCGCTGCGCGGGTGGTAACGGGGGCACGGCGGACGGACAGGATTGGCCCGACGCTCCGGGCTCTGGGATGGGAGCGGGTGGAGCGGTTGGTCGAGATGAAGGACGCCATCAAACTTCACAAGCTCCTGACCCAGGAGCTCGGACCACCAGCAGTCCGATCTATGTTCGTGGCCCGATCGGCTGTCTCCCACCGCTCCACCCGTTCCACCGAGGCGGGCCGCCTTGAGCTGCCGCGGTGCCGGCTGGTCGGCACCCAGCGCGGATTTCGATATCGTGCCGCGGCAACGTGGAACATGTTGTCACCAACTGTCACCAACATCAGATCTGCCCGAGAGTTCAAACGCGCTATTCAATAGAAAGTACCATAGATCTCTCGCTACTATTCGTCACTCAGTGCATTCATTTTGTGTTTAATTTTCATGCAACACAATGTGCGAAGTCTTCGCTTTTAGCCTCACATTTTAAACCTTCACCTCTTTATGTATTTTATGAATATGGCGAGTGTCTGCTCTAATGTCACGTTTTATTCTGTCGTTTTATGAGTGTGCTATCTTGTATTGACGCAAATCCCGAAAAGCCATCATGTGGACGGATTTTAGATGAATACATACATACATACATACATACGTAAGGATGAACAACTCATCAGAACAGTTTGTAACTGCCTGAATTAGCTGAATTTAGCAGTTGGACTAGGCTTTATGTTTTTTTTTTGCCGTAATTAACTCATGATTTATAATTCAAAGGCACTGGGTATGACTTCCACGGCACAGTGCGGGGCCGCGCCCAGTACCGCCTTCTGAGTCTCTGACCTTTGTGTTCCCCTCGGCGCAGCGCTCTACGTCGCGGCACGCGCCGGGCCCGCCGCGCTCTGTGGAGGAGGTGCTCTCGGCGCCGTACGAGGCGATCCGCACGGAGCCACTGCCACCGCCGAGGGCCCGGCCGTCGCCCCCGGTGGAGTCGGACATACGCCGGCCTCTGCCGCCGCCCGGCCGGCAGCCGTCCGCCCAGCGGCGGCCGGCGCCGCTGCTGGCGCGCGACAGCGGCTACTCGGACCTGCTGGCCGCCGCGCCGGGCGACGGCAGCGAGCCGGGCCGGTCGGCCAGCGGCGGCTCGGCCGAGGGGCACGCCAGGGACTGGGAGCTGCCGGCCGAGCCCTGCACGGCGCTGCCGCCGGCCAGCGCAGACACGGGCGCGGCGCACCAGATGGTGTGTCCCCACTGCCGGACAGTGTTTGCGCCCGACCAGCACCTGCTCTATGTGGACCACGTGACGACGGAGTGTCCGGCGCGGCGGCGGCGGGGATGTGCCTCACGGACCTGCCCCGGCTGAGCTTGGCGCGCGCTGCGGTGTGCTCCGACCAAGTTGCCGCCCCGCGCCGCCGTCCCGGCGCCAAGTGTGCTGAGAGGCGCCGGTGCAGCCATTTGACTGTGGGAACCCGTCGTTCCCGCCTGCTTTTACATGGTGGTCGGACGTTGGTCACCATACCTGCACAGTAATATGAAATACAAACATTCCACTCGACCCGATTCAGTGGTAGATGGGCTAGCCATGCTACTTTGTTCCTCAATGAACGTGAATAATGAAGGTGGAAATGGTATCGTGCTTTATTGGTTTATTTGTGCCGTGAATAGATTTGAAGAGAATCAATGAAGGTGATAGATGACTTACACTCAATTCGCTATTGTGAAGACCGAATCTGAGTTTATAAGTTATTCACCGCGCCCTCCAGGAGAGTATTGCCACTTGAATAAATACATCGCTCACCAAATGAATAATAGAATTGAGGCGCTGTTTTTCTTTTTTACATTGACTCGTTCACTCATGCTAAGTAGCTGCAGCACACCAATTGTACGTGAAGTTGCTGTTCACCTGCCTCATTGCGTATGTGAAACATTTGAGCACGATTATTGGGTAGTAGACGTGATTTCAAGGTGTATATGTGGCGATGTGTTTCGACTCATCGAGAGATTCAGTGATTATGCTGGGACGCGCCCCAAGGCCTCCTTTCCTCAATCGTGTTTTTAGACGATTATTTTTCAATCCCGTTGCGACATTTTCAAGAGATGCTTGAACACTTGAGTTTGAAAGGATCCATGGTCGTATGTCATCATTATGTCTGACTTTCAACTCTAAAAATTCTTGTCAAAGACACGTCGCGATTGTCGCAAAGCGCCGTCATCATGCTTTTTTAGCTGTGCGAATGCTGCTCACTGCTGTTCGCTTGTGCGAATAATGTCGATTGCGCCTCATATAATGGATTGTAATGCTTGATTGATGGTAGTTTTGTCGCTGAAATACACTACTGTTTGCTGTGACCATTGAGTGTCTACTCTGTACGCTAAGCGCTTATATTGGGCGTTCCACGCCTGACGTCCCGCCAGACCAAGTCTGATGGTCGTATTGCCAGCGCAATTTTAATGCTGCGAACACTGCTTTGGAACGGTCTTGTGTAGGTATGTGCGTTTGTTAATCGTATCATTCGTGATAATCGTTGCCAGTTACCAGTGCCATGTCTTGACAGGTTGCCCTAAGACCGGATAAATGCCTGAGATAAATTTACATAGTTAATTACAAACATTGCAAATATTAGCTGCAAACAAGTATGGCTACTTTGATGCAAGTTTATTCCACGACATTGCACCATGTCTTTATTTTCCTCGAGCCACCGTCGTTGTGGCTATTGCTGCACTTAACAAGACGCATTCATTGCTAGTCAATCGGCCGGCAAGGCCTGTGTATATTGACTGAATGCAGTTACGCTGACCGTCAAGTCGCTGTCACGGGCTGGCGCTCCTGAGGCTGACTCCGCTCCACTACACCTGTTCGGGATCAGCGCGCCCGCTGCTGGTGTCGGCCGGTGATGGATGCCGTGGTGCGCCGGCGGCGGGCGCGGTGACTGAGCGCGCGGCTCTCCCGCCGGGCGCCCAGTCGGACAGGTACTGGAGCACATGTCTGTACACCAACCGGTCGGCGTCGATACCCCAGAGGAAGTCCAGGTGCTGCCACAGCGGCCAGGCCACCTGCTGGCTGGCCACCAGGTTCGGCAGCCGGCTGGCCAGCGAGGCCACGTCCTGAAACAGGCCTCGGTCAGTTCAGTGGCGCCGACAGAGGGCGCCGCTGGCAAGGCGGGCTGCCGACAAACGGATCGGAAAAGTATGCCTGGCAAATGTACGCCAGGACATGGGCGTAGGAACGGCTGGAACATTGTGGGTGCATGGGTGCAGAAATCCAGCCATGGCCCGGTGAAGCGGGGAGGGGGGGGGGGGGGTGGGGAGCGGCAGCCGAGCGAAGGCTCATTGCGAGCTTTGAGGGTGTACCATGTCGAAAAGGTACCGGTAAGTGCATTTGGCGGCATTGGTGATGTCAATGACTACCGCAAAAAGTAAAAGCGGCTAACTTGGTCTTCGGTATGTGTTCTCTGTTCAATCACATGTGCTCCATTTCTTCGTTTTTATTTAAGCACAAATATAAGTTTTGAAGACCATCACAGTAGAAAATGCTTCGAAAGATGGATAGTGGGCAAAATATCCTGAATTTATCGTGCTGCATGGGAATTAGTATTGCTGAGAGAGGGGTTTTTGTTCCAGATTATTGTGGGTGCAGAATACATTGTCTGCACCCACTGGGGAATTATTTGCCACTGCACCCATGGTTCCTAACTTCCTACGCTTATGCGCCAGGAAATGTACGTAGGACAAAAGTACTTATCGCCAATGTGCGTAAGGTATAAAGTACATACGCGCGGACAAGAGTATCTACATATGGGTTAGGTTGGGTTCGTTTGGGTTGGGTTAGTTTAGGCTGGGTAGGTTAGGTTAGGAGTTGCATTTTTAGCGATACATTAGCAGGTATTTGGCGCCTACATACTTTTGAGTGCTTACTTCCGTGAATCGTCCGTGAGCAGTGCAGCGAGTGAATTGGGTATGCCTCGCCCCGTTAGGGAGCAGAGTGGTGAGAATGGGAGTAGAGAGACTTCTATAGATGTTATTGTTTAGCTGGGACAGAGTTATTCTAGCATAAAAATATTCAAAACACCAGTTTCGTTTATTAGTTATGGGAGCTTCCGAAAGACGTTCGTCTTTCTTCGTCAGCCTGTCTCAAAAAGCACTTAAAACACACATAATATACACCAGGTAAAGACAAGATCAAACACTTCTAATGACCAAAAATGTACATACAAAACAGTTTTGAATTTTTGTGCGAAAAGGCGCGACATCGTTTCACACATACCTCGTTCGGTAACTCGTCATTTTTTGCATAATCTTGTCTTTACCTGGTGTATTATGTGTGTTTAAGTGCTTTTTAAGACAGGCTGACGAAGAAAGACGAACGGCATTCGAGAGCTCCCATAACTAATAAACGAAGCTGGTGTTTTGAATATTTTTATGCTAGAACAGAGAGACTTTATGACATTTTTTTTTAGCATGAACAGAGAAAGCCTGGTATGCTGATGGAACTAGGAATGCTAGGCATAGGCGGCGGAACGGGGAGGGCACCGGGGCACCGTGCCCCCCTTTGATTTTGACATTTTAACATAACGCCATGAGCGTTGCATGGAAAGAATGGGACTTAACTCGGCAGTGTCCCCCTTTAATTGGAGGTGTTCCGCCGCTACTGATGTAAGGTCGGAAAATCGATGCAGTTACGACCTTTCATTACAAGTCATAATCGCCACGGAATTTGAGAATGCGCATCGCTCATGAATGTGCAACAAAATTAAAATACAACACAATTGTCTAAAATCTTTTGAAAATAGTCTTAAGACTCTAAAGAATAGTCTTAGTCTTAATAGTCTCTTTTGCCTTCATCGCTACTATTTACTAAATTACTATTAATTAGTTATGATCAAATGCACCGTTAACTAATTCAACTTTATACGATTTAATGACCAACACTATCCCTAACCGTTCGGGAGTTATCGTCAGAGGATGGGACGATAAACGTCCCCCAGGCCCGCAAAGGTTGAACTACATAACTACATGTCTTGGACTACATATTCGTATATCGAGGGTTCGCATCCCGGAGGCGCCGCGTAGTTTCAACCAAGTCCCCAAGAACCGTTTCAACCAGACTTTATTTTGATGTGGTGTTAAATGTTAGCTGTATCATTTATCAATAGTTATTCTTATCTATTAACCCTCGCCAGGCCAGGGCCTTTTCCATAACACGAACAGCCAGGGGGGGGGGTGTAGGTACGAACCCCCCCCCCCTGGCTATTGCCTCCTATGGCACTTAGAAACGCTAAATTTACAGGGTAGATGGGCCCTCAGGAGTTCTCACCCCTATGCAAATTTGGTTGCTCTCAGTCAATATTTAGAGGGATTTTGGGGGGTATATGTAAATGCGAAAATTTACGTGGGGTGAATGAAAAGTTTTGAGCCTAACACAGTTACATGTGACGCAGGTTAATGAAAATTTGGGCACACATTTTGCCACTATTCTTAGGTGTGTACACCAAGTTTTGAAGTCCTAGTCCTTTTCGTTTCGTTTTTAGAGCCTGTTAAAGTGAAGGAGATTCCGCGTTCGGTGAAAAGAGAGAAAATCGAGAACCGAGCTTTTATAAAGTATTGCGATTTCAAAGCCATGCCTTCATCTGAAATTAAAAAGGACCTGAAATTAAACTTATTGGTTGTGGCCCATCATATGGCACTGTTTAGGTTTGAGCTGCTAATTTCAAGCAGGGCAGGAACAGCCTCCAAAATGAACAAATATCAAAAAACGCCGTAGAATGTGACGAAATCAGAGAACATTGACCCTGCTCTAGGGGTGTGGATGCCTGGATGCTGGATCAAAGACTGTGACCTCATCAGATAACGGTAAGAATGGACATCTCCAAGGAGCAGGCTGGCGACATTCTTACCAATGGGTATGGCATGAGAAAGGTCTCTGCGTATTGGGCCTCTTGGCTTTTTGCTGCAGAGCACGACGAGAGATGTGTAATGACATTTGGCGCTAGTTGAAGCAGATTCTGAGAATTTAAAGTCACTTTTCGCCACCGCTGATAAACTGCGGGTGTTTCACTTCAATCTAGCATTGGAAGAACAGTGGAGTCAGTGAAAGAACGTCTCTACTCTAATCTGGAAAAATTAAATGTCACAGTCACAACAAGGAGCAAAGTGTTCCGTAATTGGGAAAATAAATGGCATGTCTTGCAAGTGCACTCCTTTTCAAAGGGTCTCACTGTAATGGGGCATTACTAGGATGACCCACCGATACACTTTTGTTAGAAAATCAGGAAAATCATAACCCGCGCACCGACGGGGGTCTGCGCCAACTTAGTACCGACGGGGGGGGGGGCGGATGACCGCCCCCCCCTGAGATCTCGAAAACGAAGCAAGATAGCGACAAGCGGTAAACGGCATCGGATACGCACGGTCAAGATCTACAATTTTTACTAAGGTCATTTTCAGGTCAGGTCAAAGATGACGTCACAGGGGTCGAAAAAGTCAAAATGGCGGCGCTAAATATGGAGAGAGTTTTTCTCGAATAACTTTCGAATTAGTCAAGATAGGAACAAACTAAGGGCATCATCGTGATCCTCTCGTCAATCCGCATCGAATGATATATATGTTGACCTCGAAAGGTCAAGGTCAAAGGTTGACCTCAGGTCACGTGACCTCGAGGTCATCATGTATATCATTCGATGCGTCTTGACGAGCTGAACACAATGAGACCATCCACGCGTCTGTATCTTGTTCCTGTACGGAGTTATTGGCCAAAAACCTTTGGTGACCTTTGATGACGTCACATGACCTCACAGCTGCCCAACAGCAAAACAGACCTCAAGGTAGTGAAGGTTGATCGTATATGAAGTCATGTATGTATATGGGGCCATTCCGACCCGTTTTAGTGGTAAAAACAGGAGTTGATTTTTCCCCCATTGACTTATAATGGGGAGGTCGCGAATTGACCTGACCTTAGGTCACCGATATCAAACTTCCGAGATATACAAATTGTAGCTACTAATGACCTTATAGCATCCTGCGACTTTCAAAGGCCTCCGACATCTACTGTAGCTCTGGCACGGTGACAAAGTTGCAAAAAAGTGACTTGAGGTTGGGTCATTCAAAGTGACCTGGTGACCTGACCTGAAAGGTAGGAGGTTCAAACTTGCACACCATGTGTAAAATTGATAAGGGAATAGTCATACCAAATTTCGCGGCGCTACGCGCCGCGGTTTTCCCGCTATTCGCGAAAACCTCAGGGGGGGGCGGATATCCGCCCCCCCCCCTCGGTGCGCGGGATAAGGGCAATGCTGATAAAATTGGTCGTGTTGTTTCACCAGGACAAAAAAAAAATCGGGGTATTTTTTCACTGGTTGCAATGTAAACAATCAATTACTGAGCCTTACAATGTATCTCAAATATATATATATATATATATATATATATATATATATATATATATATATAATATATATATATATATATCAGACAAGCCCATCCAGGAGATTGGTTTGCCCCTACGCAGCAGACTAATTACGTGACCCCTGGAGTACTGACCCGCCGGTCGGCGACCTTGTCGTTTTTGCCAAAGAGCAAAACCACGGGTGCGGTGACATTTTCTGGGTAGTAGAGCGGTGGATGGGGTTGCCCATATGCTTGTTGGTTTCTCCTAGGGCCATAGTCGAAACGCTGAAAATTCCCTGCAAAGCGGAACAAAAACCGAAAGGCTGAACAGGCAAGACTATCATTTTGCCAAGAAAAAACAAACAGGTGACCCATTTCTATTAAACAAACAAAAGGTTACTGTACTTTGATCAGTACACATATATACCAAAACGTTCCAGTCAGATTTCGGATAGTGCTACCACTGCCCCCTGACGTCAATAAAAAAGGTGTGTAAATCACCTGCTAAACAGCTTACCTGACTTGATGGCCTGGTCGAGCTGCTGGATTACCATGTTGCCACAGCCGGCCGGCACGTGTGTCAGGATCACGGGTAGAGAGTACTGAAACCCAATAGATCACCATAACAAATATACAAGAGGAACAAGATTTGACCCACAGTGTATGTATATAAACCAGTAAAACGCCTTTTGGGCGAAGAACGAGCGAGCGAGATAGTGAGCCCTGCACGTGCGGAAGGGCGAGAGGGTACTTCCAACGGGTTTGTGCAAAGCATCCTTCTAACCGGTCGCTAGCGGTGTACCAAATTTGAACGCAATCGGCCCAGTCGTTCCTGAGATCTGGAAGCGGCATTCTGCACGTGCGCACGTGCAAACGGGGTCCAAACTGACTTTTGCACGGCACCCTACTAGCTGGTCCCCAACCGTGTACCAAATTTGAGCACAATCGGCTCAGGCGTCCTCGAGATCTGGAAGCGCCCCCTGCACGTGCGCACGTGCAGTAGCACCCTAACCGCAACACATGGGAATGCATTATGCAATGCCTGGTGGGTTGCCTACCTGTATGCCATGTTTCAGCGAAATCGCCCCAGTAATTACCGAGTTATTGAAATGGGAACAAAATTTGGCACCTCCTCTTTTGGTATTTTGCACGTGCAGTGGGGGTCACTCACATAGATCAAGAGTATTCGACCGTCGCGTTGGTAGAAGGGATGCAGCTACCCTACAAAAATTACCGCAAGGCAATCGCCCAAACGGCTGCTGAGATATGACTTATGAGCCTCTCAAAATCACTACTTTTGCAAAACAGCTTGAACAATGAACACCCTTGACTTTTCACGTGGCACGTGCCACGACGGTCACAGACATGTATCAAAAGTAGTCAATTACGGGGTAGAAGGGATGGGGCTACCCAGCAAAAAAGACTGCAGGTCAATCGGTCTAGCGGTTGCTGAGATATAAGCATCTCAAAAGCGTTACAGGCCGGGCCGGGCCGGGCCGCTCATACTGAGATTTTTCCGTTATATTGAAAAGACTCGCTTCGCTCGCTCGCTCGTAATAACTTCACCTTTACGCCACTCTGCACCACATTTCAGCATGCGTCGTTTAGTATCTGTAAGAATCTTGGATCAGACTCCGTTGGATCCAAGCCTCAAGTGTAGCCAAATCACATCTAGCCGTGGATCACGGTGAAAGGCCGTTATCCCGCGACCCGTTGGGGGGGGGGGGAGGGAAGGGGCGGGGGCAAAGGCCCTCTCCCTGTGGGTTTTCGGAGATAACTCAGAAACGGCTGCGAATTTCGACTTGAAACTTTTTGTACTTCTCCGGACATAAATTTTACACAACGTCCTGAAAAAAATTAGGTCCCAGTTCATCTCAGGTCACAAGCTATAGAGGTCAAACTGAGGTCATGTTCGGCGATTTTTTCGTCGAAAAAGTTGTTCACGGAGAAAAATCGCAGAAAATCAGGGTTTACACTTATCGATTCAAAAATTGGACCGTAGGTATAAAAAGTATGGAGAACAGAATCGCTATCTCGAGATTTCGAAAAGATAAAAATCTCGATCTAGGGAGTTTCTAACTCAACATTTAGATTTCTTGAAATGTTTTTGAAATTTGGGGAAATTTTCACAAAGCCGGAATATATGTTACAGAACCCCATGTTGGCCTAACACATGCCAAAAATTAACAAAATATCTCTAAAACTGCCTGAGATATAGCAATTTGAATGACTGAACAGTGAACAAGTAGAGGCTGTTCTTATGACGTCACAATATTTTCGGTATTTGTGCTTGAAATCAGTCAGGAGTAATATTATGATTCTTATAAACCTCTTGCTGACTGAATATGATCGTTAACCTTCGCCCTGGTGGGGGGGGGGCCATTTTGGCCCCCCCCCTGTGGTTTTTCAGCGATAACTCAGAAACCACTTGAGTTAGCGCCCTGAAACTTTGTATAGCTGTTTATTCAACATTTTTACATCATGTCCTTTTTTGGGGGGTTCGGGTGAGGTCAGGTCAGGTCACAAGGTCACCAAAACTGACACCACCTCTAAAAAAGTTCAAAGCTCTCTCAAAGGCACAGCTTTTATCCGATCGATGTAAAATTTACAGTACTTGAAGATGTCGCCCAGCTCTACAAAATGGCTATCTCGGATTTTTTATAAATGTGACCTAAGGTCAGGTCAGGTCATCGCTGCTCCCCATTATAAGTCAATGGGAGAATCGAAAAGTAGTTGTTTTTCAGCTAAATCGGGCGTGATTGTTCCTATATTTCGTTATTGAAGTGTCTTGGGTCAGCAAATCACAGCCCATGTGAAACCATTTGCTTGTGACCTCGCTGAGGTCACGCTAGGTCATCTCCCTGGTCACCAGAGGTCACCAGCGGTTTTTCTGCACTTACTTGTTATTGAATAGAGATAGAGACTCCGTTCGACGTTTATCGTGTTTGTCTCGTCAATGCGGATCGAATGATATGCAGCATGACCTATTTCGGTAAGGTCATGACCTTGACCTGAGGTCAAATTTTCAAAATGACCTTTCGAGGTCAAACTATATATCATTCGACGCGTCTCGACGAGCCAAGCACGATGGTGCATGAATCGTTTCTCTATTTTCTCGTGATGCATGCTATAGTTAAAACATTTTCAACGAAATTTGCCAGTTGACCTTGCTGACCTCTGTAGGCCAAACCGTTGAGCTGAGGTCAAATCTACGAACCTTGGCGAAAGAGCTTGAAAAGAGCTATCGATTGCTTTTTTCTGCGGCTCCTAGCTCTTCTAGTTTCCGAGCTACAGCGAATATTCCGGCAACACCGAAAACACTGAAATTTGACCTAGATGACCTCTAGCGACCTCATATTGACCTTAGCGAAAAAATGACCGAAATACTTTCGAACGTACTTGTTATGGGCTTTCGTTTGCTTTTTTCCGCGTCTTCCTAGCCCTCTTCGTTTTCGAGTTAGACGGGGGGGTCATTTTGGCCCCCCCCCCCAGGCGAAGGTGGCTCAGACCCAACCAGGCGCGGGTTAACGTGACTAAAGTCACTTATACGTAAAAATTAGTTTTCGTTGTAAACCGGTACAATTTGACCTTATTTGACCTTCCTGTGACGTCATAGGTCCAAGAAAAATGATCAAGGAAGTTTCTGTGGATATATGACATGTCTTCATAAAGACTCGATATTCACAATTCAACATCCTTTCCTTATGATTCACCAGTATTTCCTGATTGGTAGAGGCTGATCCATGTTGTGACGTCTCACGTCACAGGTCATTATCCACTCAGGTGACTGTCCTAGTGTCCACCTGCCAGATGTATCATATACATTATCCAGACTCATTTTGAAAACATAGATTTCAAATTAATGACCGACTTATCGTCATTGCAAAATGGACTGATTTGACCATGTTTGACCTCCCTGAGACTCACAGGTCAAATATCAGGTCATCCATATCCTATCTTGTGCATCTCGATGAGCTCTTTCGATTGCCGTTGGAATTTTTCCGATCGGCTATTGGTTCCGGATATACGACGGGGGCTCTTTGCCCCCCCCCCCACAGGACGTGGAACCTGCCAGAACCTCAACGGGGCGCGGGTTATGATCAGACGATAGGCGTGTACCTAATACAGTTTTATATAAGTCTGCGCGCAAGCGCTGGGCCTCGAACCTCAATATATGAACCGGATTCAATACGTAAACGCAGGTTGTTTAAATAGGCAAACATTTTTCGCTGAATTTGTGTTTTTTTCTATCAATAACGAAGAGCCGACGCATTCTAGGCGTAAGTGCCCTCAAGGGAGAAAACAGCATGCAACGTGGTGAAAGCCGCAGCACAAACGTCTGAAGGGTCAATGGAAATTAGTTTTGGTTTTCACTTAAGTAAGATAACGGGTAGGTACTGGGAGGCTGCAGAAGGGATTTAAAAACCAGTTCCTGAAATATATCATTTTATAGATCACCATATTATCAACAGGCTCCTAGCGAGTGTGAGGGCAGTTACCAGACGGTATTAAACGCAGGTTGTTAGAAATAGACAACACTTTTCGCTGAAGTTGCGTTTTTTTATTGATAACGTAAGAGTTGACGCATTCTAGGCGTACATAGTGCCGTGAATAATTCTTGAGATACCCCTATAATACACCACGAACAAATCTGCGTGAAACTCCGGGATACACAGTAATACCTTATCCAGCTGTTTCGGGTCCCCGCGGCGTACATGAAGAACAGTATAGCGCAAATAGGCTTGGTCGGCGCGTATTTGTTGCAGAATATCTTCCCGATCCGCCCGTTTTGGGATCGTAAGGCATCGTCTCGTACATGCCGAAGAATTCGGCCAGCCTCTGGAAAGTTACGGAACTGATTAGTATTGTGGATATTGCCTGATGATGGAAAATGTTGTCAACATGACACAATGAAGGATGACGCACAAGAAAGGAACTTAGAACAATAAAGACGACGTACTTTCAGGAAAACAAAGAGCGCTATTGCATTCGCACTGCACACTGAATCAGACGTACAATCTGATCAGTTTAATATGTCAATATGCTGACCAGAGACTTGATAGTCCCTCCTGGTAAACTCACGTGGAGCGGTACTCTAATAGGCACCATTTTCTTCGCGAAACCCGGTAGTACATTCTTGTGGAGATAGGAGCCATGGCGACCATCAGCCGTACCTGGTGTTGTAGGACGGTAATAATTCATCATAGCCCAAAAACCATGTGCCTGGGCGGAATTCAAGTGAAGTGGTATTTCGACCCCGCCACCATGAATTACATCAGCTCATGAATCGTCATACTACCAGCAAAGTGCCTTTAACTAGCAAGAGCGGTACCCCCAACTAAACTGCGAGCCACCCGTACCTCTTACGGCGTACCAAAACTCAATCCAACTGGACCAGCTATTCTTGAGATGCAGAAGCGGCACCCTGCATGTGCGTTAGTGCAAACTGTGCGTAATGGTACACACACACACACACACATACAAAAAAAAAATAGAACGCAATTGTTTCAGCCGTTCTCGAGATGTGGAAGCAATCCTTGCACGTGCGCACGTGCATGAACTTTACCGTTTATTCGAAGGGCCTACTACTGCCCAAACTTGCATTGCAACAAAATCATGGACTCAATCTCCGATATAGCTTATTTGGTTCACTTCTTTGCCATAACTACTCATTTCTATTTGTTGAATATCAGGAGTTGTTTATGATATTGTTACAGTGTTGTTGTAGTTTACGATAAAATTTCCATTCAAAATACAAATGAAGTGAAAAAATTAATGCAGCCATCATAACCGCAAACGGAATATCAACCAATCCAGATATAATTACGATCGAGCGAGCGCAGCGAGCGAAGCGAAGTCTTTTCAAGTACAATATAGGTAACGGAAAAATCTCAGTATGAGCGGCCCGGCCTGTAACGCTTTTGAGAGGCCTATCTTAGCAACCGCTGGACCGATGAGGCTGGGGTCTTTTTTTTGCTGGGTAGCCCCATCCCTTCTACCCCGTAATTGACTACTTTTGACACATCTCAGTGACCGTCGTGGCACGTGCCACGTGAAAAGTCAAGGATTTCATGTTCAAGCTGTTTTGCAAAAGTAGCGATTTTGAGAGGCATATCTCAGCAGCCGCTTGGGCGATTCGATTGTCTTGCGGTAATTTTTGTAGGGTAGCTGCATCCCTTCTACCAAAGGTCGGATACTCTTGATCTATGCGAGTGACCCCACTGCACGTGCAAAATACAAAGAGAAGAGGTGCCAAATTTGTTCCCATTTCAGTAACTCAGTAATTTCTGGGGCGATTTCGCTGAAACTTGGCATACAGGTAGGCACCACCAGGCAATGCATTCCCATGTGTTGCGGTTAGGGTGCTGCTGCACGTGCGCACGTGCAGGGGCGCTTCCAGATCTCGAGAACGGCTGGGCCGATTGCGCTCAAATTTGGTACACGGTTGGGGACCGGTTAGTAGGGGGCCGTGCAAAGTCAGTTTGGACCCCGTTTGCACGTGCGCACGTGCAGAATGCCGCTTCCAGATCTCAGGAATGGCTGGGCCGATTGCGTTCAAATTTGGCACACCGCTAGCGACCGGTTAGAAGGGTGCTTTGCACAAGCCTCATTGGAAGTACCCTCTCGCCCTTCCGCCCGTGCAGGGCTCACTATCTCGCTCGCTCGTTCTTCGCCCAACAGGCGTTTTACTGGTTAGTAGTAATGATGGCCGATGGGATTAGACTCGGTATCCTCACTCTCATTCTCAGCATCGGAACAGTGACATCTATACATCTATACATCATATGTATTAATTACAACATGCTTATATATTTGGAATATTTCTGGAAATGTACATACGTACCTACTTACTTATCGAGTAACCAACGTAGAACAGCTCATTTTCTCCGGTGTTTTGCAGGATGTAATCGATGAAAGCTGGATTGTCATATTTGGCATATGAATCGGCTCTGGAATGATAAAAAGCAGGATTATACGAGAACAGGTATTTTCGTAGGGGACATTTTTAAGTCGAAAAAAATCAACATCGTTAAAACAAAATCACATGAATTACATTTCGGCGCTAAACAGGCCAGTGCTTAAGATAATTTTGGCATATCTCGTCAAAACGACCAAGTTTGTTGAACAATTTTAAGTTTTTTTTCTCGAACATGCTTTATCGTACAACATGCTTTATCGTATATAGTCACCTGGCATCAGTTCGAAACATTTGAACAATTCACAAGACTCCTAAACCGAAAGTAACAAAACAAGTAGCAAATGATAGGTCCCCTCTGCAGACTTATTGGCAAGCAGTTTTTACCTCGTAAGTCGTCGTTCTATACTCTCCGAATGCACTTTTCAAACCGTTTTTTTTTTATTCAGGCCTCCCATGAAGACAAACGTCCCCATTTTCGTTTCTCTTTTCAATAAGCTTACAACCAAATCACACCAGTACCTTCCGGAACGCTGCCAGGGAATGCTGATCAATCGGCAACTAGTATTTAGAACAAAAAATCTGCCGTTCAATACGGTATGCAGTAAGGCATGCAAATACACATTGCACAATGCACAGTGCACACGCGTGTAAGTGCATGTAGGAATGTAATTGGATATAAGACCGAAAAAGGGAAAGCATGTGGACAGCTCACTTTAAAAACTGCGCTTGAAATCCCTTCTGTCCAGTGGAAGACGGAACTGAGAAATTGAAGTTACTCACGTGAAGTTCCAGTATTCCCTAGTATCAGTTTCCAGGTTGACGTGTCTCTGCGAGTATAAATTTCCCCTATTGTTTCCCAGCCATACGTCATAGCCGGCATCCGATAGCATAAATGCTGCAACGAAAGGAATCGGGTGTTATTTTGTATCATAATTTATTTGAAATTATGATACTTAGGACAGATGCCTTTCGCGTTAAGGGAAAGTGATAGCTCGCCCAGTATTCCGTGTTCATCTATCAGTATTCAGTAAATTATCAATCATCCGTAGGTTCAATAGCCTTTTTTAAATTATCAGATTTTTTTTCAAGTTCGAGAATTTTTTTTTTTTAATTCCCATTGGGTAGAAGGGTACATGTGAAATGCGATACATTTTATATTTTTCAGCTGACTGGATATTTTTGGTGTCAAAAATAAAATATTCATGGTCAAGAACGGGGAGTAGTGCATGGCGCGCGGGGGGCGCGATACAGAAGCAGCGAGGTTTTAGTGACGAGCTAGTAATCAAGTTGGATCAAAGGTGTGGGGGACATGGGTGGAGCTTTTCCAGGGACGTTGGTGGGGCAAAAAGTCGTCAAACCCACAATGTCCGATTATGAAGGCCTCACTGAATTAATTCCTATCATTACAGATATAATATTTGCATTTAACAGACATTCCAAAGCTCTTCGATGCAAAAAATAAATTTGCAAATCAACAAAGTCTTAGAAACCAGCTTACCACCAACTGTATAGGAAGCTCCGCCCCTGGTGGGGGATGTTAGCCATCATTACCAACCGAGTAGGCCAAGGGTGTTACAAAGACAAGGTGAAAGGAGGGCGCTGAAAGGCGTTACTGACGCAGGGGTTCAAATGACTGTTGGGTACTGACGCAGCGGTCGGCGCGGGTTGATGATCCAGCCGGCCGAGCTGGCGCGCAGTCCGTGCAGTAGCAGCACGGGCGGGCCGCCGCGCGCCTCCGCCGGCGGTGGGATGCGGTGCACCTCCAGCAGGTATCCGTCGGCCGTCTGCACAGTGTGCACCTGCACCGGGTAGCCGGCAGCGGCGATCAGCTCCGGCTGCGGCGCCGCGAACACCGCGGTCAGAGGGCTCACACAAGGCTATAGATTCCCCGGCTCACCGGGGGACCAGCGGGAGGGACAGAGGGGGCCTAGCTCACCGGGGGACCAGCGGGAGGGACAGAGGGGGCCTAGCTCACCGGGGGACCAGCGGGAGGGACAGAGCCAGAGGTGAGAGAGAGAGCATTTATTCTCACTAGAACATAAAATTCATAAATAACAAACAATTGAGAGGGGACTTAGCTTACCGGGAAACCGACGTGACGAACATTGGTCAGAGGGCTCTGTTTGCCGAGGAAAGGGGATGGGGACTGGGGAGGGGAAGGACAACAGTCAGAGGGCTCGGCTCACTGGAACAAAAATGTGACGGGAGGGGCAACGGTCAGATGACTCGGGTCATCGGGAAACAACAGGGGATGGGGTTTGGGGAGGGGGGGGGGTAAAGGAACTGACGCCATAGTCAAAATCAGACATAGTTAGTAACCAATTTAGATTAAAGTGACCATCCCATCTTAAAGGTAGTGTGCCACCTTTGAAAGATTTCCCATTTTATTTTTCCTAGGATAAGAAGCTTCTGTTTTTACCTAATATCGCAAAAAAAATCAAAATGGGCCTGGAATAGTGCCTTTTTCGCCTAAAAGTTTATCGGTTTTTAGATATGTATCACAACTGTAGTGGGCTCACCTGCAAACAGGCGTCGGGCAACAATCGCGAATGCGGCGCACTTGTGACAATAAGCAAAGGTCATTATAGTGTTACGACCATACGACGTACGGGAATGAGTTATCAGCTGTCTAATCGTAGACAACACAATGTCGAGCCTTAAACTGTAAGCCCGTATTGGTATTGTTTCTTTTATTTGGCTGTCGAACATTATTTATGGTTTGAAATATGATTTTATGTAAAATAATTGATATGAAAAAGCCGTCTTATAAGTTATGACCCCATTTCACCACACGCAAGTGGCAGAAATGACAATGATCAGCTGACGCATTTTTCTTGGCCGAAGTCAGAGCGCGCGGCCCGACGCACCACGCGTATTTGGAAATTCCGACCTCGACGAGCATCAGAAGCCAACTAACAGGCGTGTTCGAAACCGCAGGAGCTGATGATGAACGGGTTTATCGAAACTTGATTGGATGAGCATATCGGTAATAGCGATTTCAGTGTGTGCATTCATTGTTCATAGTGGTGTGAAATGTGGTTGGGGTACGACCGACAACCCGTCGGGGCGAATTTCGCACTGGGGTACTCAAAATTTGAAGAATTTAAGACGTTTCCATGAGTTTTGAAGGTATGGATAAGTTCTAAAAATCCGGTTCTCCTTATCTGGGCCATTAACTCCATACGGTCCAAGAAAGCTGGCACACTACCTTTAACATGAGTCTTGAATTGAGATGGCCAAATTGGGGTCCCTGTCTTGCAATTACCGGTTTGGGCAATGGGCATTCACAACATCGAGAAATGTTTTGATTCGGAGACATTTAGTTTCAAAGTCTGTTGTTTTCGGATTCTCAGGGGCTAATGCAATTGAATGCCCGCACTGGCTTTGTGCCGTCAGCGCAGATCTAGCGATTTTTAAGTGTTATACTTACACCTTGGTAAGACAATTGTTGCTTTAGTGGTGTATACCGTCTTGCGCGCAACATCTATCGCGGCTTATATGATTCCAAATTATTGCTCACAAATGACGTCATAGGAACAGCGTAGGCTCCCCAAAATAAACAATAATAAATAAAAGTCTAAATATCTCAAACACAGGTTAATACTTTTCGGTGAAATTTGGTAGCTGTTTATGTTTACTCCTGAACCACAATAGATCACTTTTATGCCAATTCATTTTTTTAAGGTGGGAGGATCCGTTTAGTGATCGGGACTCTTGATGGCCATCGACGTCGGCAACGGCGTACAGATAAACGGCGTCTTTAAGATGTTTGATTAGTCATTTGTTCACCAAGCCTAGCGCTTGAAAAAGTTTAACGACTTACAGCCTTACATAAGCTAAGATACGAAACAGACAACTGTGAGTGGCATTCAAGTAGGGGAGAGTGGGGTAATTTGGCCGGTGGTGTAAATTGGCCGCCCCCACCTGTACGATGTCTATTAAAAGTGAGTGAAATAACTATTTCTGTCTCTATTCATTTGTCATGGGTAGAAATAACTGGAGGACAAATGTCAAAACTTTGCCCCTCGTAGTTTTATTCAAAATAAATAAACCGTTAATTTCATTAGAAAATGGCAACTTTTGCTTCTGTTTACAAAGTTGTGTAACATGTAGTATTTGGGCTAAAAACGAATTCAGACATCATAGCGCGATTATTGGGGGTGTTCAGCGGTTCCAAGAGCATTTTCATCTAATTCCGTATAGCCGTGATGACTTAATAGACAAAAATTTTCAGAATGGCAATATGGGGTAATTTGGCCGGGACTAGCGGGGCAACTTGGCCGGTGCGCTCATGGTCACTTTGCTAGGACGGCCGAGTTTTCATGGTCAATTGTACCATAAATGACATGATTCATGACCAACTTTGACTACTTTGATGCCTTACTTCCGATTGGTCAACTGTAAGAGCATGTGACGTCATCAAAGGTTACCAAACGCTTTTTGCTAATAAATGCTCACATAAAAATGGTACAGCCGCACAAATGGTCTCATTCTGTTCAGTTCGCCAAGGCGCATCGAATGATATGCATGATGACCTTGAAATCACGTGACCTTGAGGTCAAGCGACCTGAGGTAACGTGACCTGAGGTCAACCTTTGACCTTGACTTCTCGAGGTCAACACATATATGTTTCGATGCGGACTGACGAGAGAATTACGATGGTACTCGAAGTTTTGGCCTAGCTTGATTACTTCAAAAGTTATTCGTAAAAACTGTCTTCGCATCTAGAGCCGCTAATGGCTATTTTGACCCCTGTGACCCCTGAGTCAACCTCCGAAATGCGGCAAATGCGTCATAGGACACACGTCATTGCTGAATCTCAAGCTGACTCGCAATATAACAGAAAATCCTGACCGCAAACTAACACCGGCCAAATTGCCCCACACCCCCGGCCAAATAACCCTGCTATAGTCTGTTCCATTCCAAGTTTGCAGCCGAAGCGCCGCACTCATAACAGCACGTGAACAACGCTAGTGCAACTTTTTATGCAAATGCGCCAACGGATTGGAAAGCTGCGCATTTGAGACTTGATTTGACGCTCTTCAACAGTCATAATGTCCATGTATATACGATCTCTATGATAATGTCGTCAATTTTGTCGGCTATTATATTATCAATTAATATGTACTTAATTGTTAAGATGTAAATTTTGTATTTAATATTTATTCTTTTCAAAATGTTCTAAAATCAGTACGCACTTCAGGGCGGTGCGGTCACCAGATAGCAAATAAGTCGGACAGGCACACAGGCACACGATGTGCTCGTATTTTTCCGCAAGAAGTGGAGGCGACGGGCGTCTGAAAATTGGCCTAGGTGCAAAGTCCGCCTAGGTATTGCCGTCGCCTATGCGCCACCGGACCGGAGCAGCGGAGCAATCAGGAAAAAAAATATTGAGATGGTGATGACATCTCCAAGAGAGCTGATAACCCGAGGTCGGTCTGCGGACGGATTGCAAGAAAACAAAAGCGGATGAATAAAAATATAAGCACTAAATATTGTCAGTGGTGTGCTGTTATGGCAAAGTGTTCAAACGACCTGATCTATCATAGCCGTAAACGAAATAAAAATGTTTACGCCAAGCAGAGGCTAGCACGTAATACGACTGGATTGGCAGATTTTAATGCTGCTCGACAGGATGATGCCTTGCGAGATCACTTTTTTGTTCAAATATACAGTTTCAATTTTGTTTTGCGTTTCAGGGTTAACACAAAATACGGAAAACGTTGGGCACACGTGTCTTCAAAATATTCTGGGGTAAGGCCCTGTAAATATCGCCGGGTATTTTCGCCGCAGGAACTCCGCAAAAGTCCTCCTTGATTTTTCATTGCTCCCCACGTGCGAATGGCGGGCAGCGCTTCGGCTGCAAACTTGGAATGGAACAGACTATAGTGGGCAATTTGGCCGCCTTGCAGACCTTTGTAATATGTCACAATTTCAATATAAGTAATAACTCTTAGCATTTCAAGTTCACTGTCCAGTAAAGTAAAATAAATGCTACACCTGCCAGCGTTGAGAAAATGCAGAAATGTGTCGTCAATTTTAAGCTACATCGTTTTCTAAAAAAAGCGGCCAAATTACCCCAACCTCCCCTAACTACAAACTGTCCTGACTGGGTGACCACTGACCAGCCCGTGAAACATACCGCTGTCGGCGGGTCTCGCAGTGTCCTGGGGTCAACGGCCACTCCGACCCCCAGTATCGTCAGGATGCAGCCGAGCCACAGGGGCAGGGGGTGGCGGGCAGCCCGCTCCCTGTCCGACACCATCGCACGGGGACTCGAGTCGCCACTGGAACAAACAGATGACAACTACATCACTGCGGTACTGCAACGGATCGCACCACGACAACATCGCAGCAGTGAACCAATCATCGAGTCCAGTAAAAGATAGTAGCAGCAGGGACGAACTTCCGGACAGACCAGACGTGAGACGTCGCTTTGGAGGGCATATCAGTCTTATTCTGCCGTCCAGTCAAAACACCACGCGTCAATATATGGTCATTTCTCGTTTTTTTTTTTTTACACTACTGTGACCGGCTCGAAAAGCTCTGTTCTGTTTCATGCTAGTTTTTCCTTCAAAAACAAAACATAACTTTATGAGAAAAACATTTAAGAATTCACGTCTTTGAAGAGCACGGAAATGGCACAGTCAAAACCCACTACGTCGGCAAAAAGTGCCGACCCAGCCAGCAATCCCAATCCGTTCCCCCCGATCGGGATTTTCGGACTCAGCCCGCACCACCCCGATCGGGACCGGAGTGGGACAGGATTGGGAAATGAGACACTTTGTACGGGCTGGAACGGTCCGGATATCCCAACCTAACCTGCACGGTCGGTTGGGAGATCCCGCACGCATCCGAACCGCCTTATGGCATTTTAACAAGCGATGAACTCCGATCCCGACCGGGATGTCCCAACTCGGCCCGCACGGCCGGTTCGGGAATACCGCAGGTATCTGACATATTAACCGCAGTCTTATAACCGCAGATTGCTGTTATGCAGATGCGACCACTATGCTTGCGCCACCGCAACCCCTTCGCCTCTTCATTATTCTCCAATTCAACCTTTATAATGCCTGCACGACAAAATGAATTACATTGGACACTGAAATATATTCACCATAGACCTCTGTACACCACGTGCGCACGTGCACCAGCACCCCCTATTTGAGAAATGTGATAGTGTCGGATGTATTGTATCTGGTCACCTACCAAATTTGAGCTCAATCGGTGGAGCGGTTCTGGAGATATCATTAGACCAACTTTGTAAACACCCCTCACGCGCCACGCGCAGACCCTCCTCTGTGCCAGCCGATATCTCCCGGAGACATTGCATTCAATTTTTAATGCACGGGGCCATCAAACAGTGAAGACCGGACCTATCTGGGTGTTACTGATCTCGAGATATAACATCTGAAAGTTAGGGCCACTATGGTCATGGCCGAAATTTCTGCGCTCAGTCCAGGTGTACAGAGGTCTATGTATTCACAAATTTATTGGTTGCACACAGGTCAAATTTTTACAAATTCACAGCCTGGCCAGCACATTCATGGCGTCGGCCAACATCTTAGCACCGCTGCAAGGCGCTGGCACAGCGGACTCACTTCCGGTGTTCACAGTCATTATAGCAGGCCTGCGCCTTGTTCGTGACGGCTCCTCTGCGGACAGTGTGTCCGTGTGCCGTCACGGGCTTCAGAGAGCCACCGCGAAACTATGTAGACGGCTGGCATCTGGTCGGGCGGTTCACCACTGTGCGAAGAGAGCATCTGAAAATGACCAAGAGGTAATTAATCAAAGTCTGGGACACACTAAAAATCACTAAGAAATAACCCACATCTGACATTTCACGTGGTATGCCTGGTAATTCAGGTTTCAAACCTACAATGCAACCAACCACACTTGACAATGAAACCAAACATCTTCTGTCCATGATAACTGATCAAACATGCGACAGCACGAGTGTAATTCACATGCCGTACAACCACAACGAACATAAAAAAATGTAAATTACCTATAGCTTTCCCGCTCCCTACATCACGGATGAAGTGTGCACTATACTCACCCTGTTCTCAAAGACGGACTGATTTCCCTGCAACGACAACAGTTGAACCGACCGCTTGCTAGAGCCAGTTCAAAAGCAATATCTTAAGGCAGCAGCTCAAAGGAGGGATCGACACTTCACCAACGCGGCAGCTAGACTGGCCGCTGCGCTCAGAGGACGCGTCTGCCTGCACGCGGCCCATCTGATTGCTTTTCCAGGCTTTCTGGGCCACCGCATATGGTGCCCGAAGCGCCTTCTCAGATCGGTTGGGATAACAACGTAAATCACAAGCCTGTCTAAACATGGGATTCGATTGGGCTATCCGTACCGCGTCCCAACCGATTAAGCATGCGGTCCGGAAATCCCGAGTCGCCCCTACCGCCGGCCATCGAGGTCCGGTATCGATTGGGACAACCCAAGCCTATCCAACCCGGTAGGGACAAGTCGGGACATCCGGAGCCTATCCCGACCGTCCCCAACCGCATCCCGGACGAATTGCTGGCTGGGGAAACCCCACACGTTATGGCTCACCTTCAGAAGCGCCACCGGCAAAATCCACTACGTCGACAGACCCATCTACGTTCTTGAACGTACCTCAATGTTCGTTAGCCGGCACGGGCGGACATCGATAGCAGCGCCTCTATCGGTCACTAGGGAAAGCTGGGCTGTAAGTGACGAAATACCGGCTGAGTTGTCACACGTTGAATAGGTTTATAGACATCCGTCTTGTGAAAAAGTTGAACTTTTGCCTTCAATATTTCTACAGGCAATTTTAGAAGTGTTTTCACATAGATTACAACACCGTTTAGATTATTGTATTCACTTGCAAGCCTTCCCTATTTTTCTTGATGATGCGGGAACTATTTCTAATTAGTGTTTCTAGCTTAACCCGCGCACCGACGGGGGGGGGGCGGATATCCGCCCCCCCCCCCCCTGAGGTTTTTCGCGGATAGCGGGAAAACCGCGGCGCGTAGCGCCGCGAAATTTGGTATGACTATTCCCTCATCAATTTTACACATGGTGTGCAAGTTTGAACCTCCTAACTTTTAAGGTCAGGTCACCAGGTCACTTTGAATGACCCAACCTCAAGTCACTTTTTTGCAACTTTGTCACCGTTCCAGAGCTACAGTAGATGTCGGAGGCCTTTGAAAGTCGCAGGATGTTATTAGGTCACTAGTAGCTACAATTTGTATATCTCGGAATTTTGATGTCGGTGACCTAAGGTCAGGTCAATTTCGCGACCTCCCCATTATAAGTCAATGGGGGAAAAATCAACTCCCTGTTTTTACCACTAAAACGGGTCGGAATGGCTCCATATACCATACATGACTTCACATACGATCAACCTTCACTACCTTGAGGTCTGTTTTGCTGTTGGGCAGCTGTAAGGTCATGTGACGTCATCAAAGGTCACCAAAGGTTTTTTGCCAATAACTCCTTACAGGAACAAGATACAGCCGCGCAGATGGTCTCATTGTGTTCAGCTCGTCAAGACGCATCGAATGATATGCATGATGACCTCGAGGTCACGTGACCTGAGGTCAACCTTTGACCTTGACCTTTCGAGGTCAACATATATATCATTCGATGCGGATTGACGAGAGGATCACGATGATGCCCTTAGTTTGTTCCTATCTTGACTACTTCGAAAGTTATTCGAGAAAAACCCTCTCCATATCTAGCGCCGCCATTTTGACTTTTTCGACCCCTGTGACGTCATCTTTGACCTGACCTGAAAATGACCTTAGTAAAAATTGTAGACCTTGTCCGTGCGTATCCGATGCCGTTTACTGCTTGTCGCTATCTTGCTTCGTTCTCGAGATCTCAGGGGGGGGGCGGTCATCCGCCCCCCCCGTCGGTACTAAGTTGGCGCAGACCCCCGTCGGTGCGCGGGTTAATAAGAGAACATATTGTGCAAACAATGGAAAAAGCATAGATGGAAGATTTTAAATGCAATTTTCTCTAGCAATTAATGGTAAATTCTCTACAGATCAAGGAAAAGGTGCATGCTAACTGATAATTTAAAGTTCTTGGGGCCAGTTGTTTTCTTCTTTTCTTACGTCGCCCCAATGGCCGCGAATATACTTGTAATAACGCCTATCGTTACGTCAAAACCCATTGCCTCATCAAAAAGATGACGTAAGGGCTTTGTTTTTATTACACCATTGTGACTGGCTGGAATAGCTCCTCGTATTTCATGCTGATTTAAAAAAAATGGCTTTTGGGGAGAGGAAAAGCAAATTTAGAAATTCACACATCATTGAAGAGCATGGAAATGACGCAAAAACCCACTACGTACACCAAAACCCTCACGTCATGGCTAACTTTCAGAAGCGCCACCAAGGCCGTATAAGAGGCGGCCTTGGTCACCAAAAAGGCGACGTAAGGACTTTTGACTCTCACTTATATGATGTCTCTACTGCAAACATTTTGGTGCCTTACGTCACCAAAAAGTTCGGCCAACCTTTGAAGGAATCAATAGTTTTTAGTCTCCAATGATAGATCAATGAATTTTCTTTCGACAATTCCTGTACCATTTTTCACGAAACCCAGCCGATCTTCTACGGCGTACAGGGTAAAGATTTCTCTGCACGCCGGCACCCGCGATCCGCCTCTCCGAACATCGAGGCCGCGGTCCTCGGTAGCGCAGTCGGTAGCGTATCGGGTTACGGATCCCAGGGTCGTGAGTTCGAATCCCGGGAGCGCTGCGTGAGTTTGGCTAGGATTGAATGATGTAGATTCTTGAATGTTTGCATAAATCGATTATTAATAGCTAATTGAATGTATCCGCCCACTAATCGGCCCCTAAAACCTGTTCTTAAGAAATTTAAGAAATGAATGTCACGCGCGCGTCATGACTGCCAACCATAAGCGCTACCATATTCTAGTTTGAACTAACTTTTTGCTAGTCCCGACCACATACAGGTTTTCTAGTAGTTATACTAGAAATTCCTAGCAAAGTTCGTCCTGCCCTTCACTCAATATACCCTGCTTGAGACAGCCTATAAAACGATGCAACGGATGCAAATATGAGGCTCGAAAGCAGCAAAACCAAGACCAACCAAGCAAACACGATGAAGACGATGTTTATTTGGAGGTTGACTTTGCAACCATTGACCTATAATAAGTACCTTGTGCACTTGTGCACGGTACCCTGCTAAACGGTCCCTTACGGTGTACCAAATTTGAACGCAATCTGCCTAGCCGTTCTCGAGATGTGGAAGCGACCCCTGCACGTGCCCGTGCGCA